ATATATAATCTAATAAAATCTCTCCAGTTCCTGTTCTTTTTGAATTCAGCACTTGCTTTGTTTTTCTTATAATGCAAATTCTTTACTACTTTTAGTTTTTAGCTACTGTTTTGCCACTTTATGTTCACCTAGCCGTTTTTAGCTAACATTATTCTGCTCTAAGCTAGAATTTTCTAGCTCTTTGCTAATTTTTAGCTACTGTTATGCTACCTTAGTTTAGCTAAACTTTGAATGCTTTATTGGCATTTTTCTACTATTAGCTACTTCAGTCTGCTTAAAAGGTTTTTGCTATTTTAAGCTTTTAGCTGTTGTTATAATTATTTTATTAGTTTTTTAAATTAAATTCCAGCAGTGCCTGTTGTCTCTCTTACAGTTTAATACGATTGTTTTGATTTTTATAGCCTTTAGCCATTTTAGCTGCTTTAAAAAAAGCACAATTTACTTTTGGTTGCTACCTTTAGCTTCCAGCTACTTTTATGCTACTTTAAACYAGCCTTTTTCGACTTGTAGTATTTAGCTACAGTTCTTCTACTTTTTTAAATCTAGTCTTCTGCAGATTTCAGCTAACCTTTTCTACTTTTAGCTAACACTTTCTGTTTTTAGCTAGTTTGGCTACTTTCAGCTTGCTTTGCTGATTTAGCATCTGAATATCAATATGCTCCGTTTAGCTACTTTTATCRTTTCACTAGCATTTTGCATATTTTAGACATTTGCTGCTTGTCTTAGTTTAGCAGCTATGTTTTAGCTTCTTTAACAAACTAACAAACTAAAACTAAAACATCCAGATTCTAACTCTGAAAAAAAAAAAGAAGTTAGCGGATTAGATTTTGAAGGCTGTTCAAATAAAATTTTAGAGGACCGACTGGTTTGTGATGAAAATACCAAACATATGTTTGATCACGTGACCCCGATGCGTGCGCAAAGCGACGTACGGTGACGTCACGTCAAAGCCTTCGTTTAGTTTCCTCAACCAAACACTGATACTGTGATAAAAAAAAAAAAAAAAAAGCTGGAGGGCAGCCGGTGGAAGACGAGCTGGTCAACCAAGAAAAGAGCACCCAAACGCCGCATTGTCTTCTCTGTAAGGAAGCCGAATCGTCGCTGTGATGGAACTTCGCTTGTAAGSGAAGAAAACGGCGAATTTACCCGATTTTAAAAGCCACGAACGATTGTTTTCTTTTTATCTTTCTGTTTCTGGTTGGCTGCCGGAAGGCGGAGAATACAAAGCGACGTGTGCTAAACAAAATAATTCACAAACAATTGGAGTCACTGAAGCAGAAAAAACGTGATTTCTAGAAAGCCAGGTCGTGCTGCTGTGACTGGTCAGAGAGTACATGGATTATCTGGTGAGTAAACCAATACAAATACTACTGGTTTTGGTTAAACGATCAAATAGCCCCAGCCTTTTTTAGCAGTCTGCAGCAATACTGTCAAAACTAGTCTGTGGCTGTCAACAGTTTGGTTTAGGTGTGCTCAGTGTTAGTTGTTTTCTGATGAAAAACCTGTAGATCTAAGTAGTTGACCCAGAACTAATGTTTACATTAAAAACACGATAACTTTCCAAATGTCTCTGCTGAGAAGTGCTGGTGAGGAGACGTGTTGGATTAGTGTCTACAACATGTGGTTCTTCAGCTCCTCTGAAAAGACTCATTGTAGTTTGTACAATGGCTTGAACCTGTCATTTTTWAAATGATGGCGACAACAGGAAAATGGGACTTTCTGCTACAAAATGACACTRTTAACAATATGGGGCTGCTTGTGGGAACTCAACTTTTAAACATTAAATTAGACTGTAAATGCTCAGTGTATCTGTACCAGAAGGATCATTAAACATTTAAAACACATTTAATTTTTTTATTTATTATTGATCTAATCATGTCACTCCTTTCTTTGTTTAGACAACTTTCGAACACAGAATGGACTTGAGACAAATTGCTGTTAAAGCATAAAGGTGGTTTTGCACTCATATTGGAACTTACAAAATTTAAAGGCATTAAAATACGGCAAGTTATTCTAACAAAGACTTTCTAGGGATGCACGATATATCGATATTAATAACTTCGGTAATGGCCGATATTGGTCATTTTTTTAGAATACTGTATTGGTCCAATAAGTAAAACTTGGCCGATTTTAACATCCGATATTAATTTTCCAATTTTTAGCTTTTGTGTTTTTGTTTTGGGAGGGTAAATGGTTGGTTTGAGCAGTATCTGTTTGGTCATGATAGTGATGCTGCGCAGTCAGGAATAAGTCAAGTAGAGAGCCATGTGGTCATTTTTTTATGGTATTGAAAAAAGACAAGTGTGTTTTGTGCGTGTATGTCTATAAATTTGTATGTTTGTGTAATATCGGTAAATATCGGTTATCGGCCATAACACCAATATAATATTGGATGTCGATATCTGTGCCATTTATATAACTTAAAGCAGTTRAAGAAAATCAAGATTGTGGTTGTTTATGTGAAGATATTTAGGTCCTAAATAACCAGTAAAGTGCTTCACCATTAGACTAGGGATGCACGATATATTGGTATTGATATCGGTATCGGCCGATATTGGTCATTTTTTATAATATTGGTATCGGTCTGATATGTAAAACTGGGCCGATATTAACGTCYGATATTGATTTCCCACTTTTTATCTTTGTGTTTYTGTTTTGGGAGAGGAGATGGTTGGTTGATCGGCATCTGTTTGATCATAATAGTGATATTGATGCTGTGCAGCCAGGAATAACTGAAACAGAGAGCCATGTCAGAGGTCTGGTCATTTATTTACGGTATCAATAAAAGACCCAAGTGAGTTTGTGTGTATATGTATAATTTAATTTGTGTGTTTGTGTAAATCGGTTATCGGCCATAACAGCAATAAATATATCGGATATCGATATCGGCTGAAATTTTCACATCAGTGCATCCCTACATTAGACTAACGTTTAGGACACTGGAGAACAAATTAATTTTTTATTCATCTTTCATTGAGTTTTACTTATTTTCTACAATTATGAAACGTGGGAACTGTTTGGTCTTGACGTTAAATATTTTAAGGCTAATATTCAGGCAGGTTTTCTGGTTTTATTAGATTTTAATTAGAAGAGATGGTTAAAAACAACTCTTTGAATCAAACAGGTTGCAGACCTCTGGTTAGTGTGGTTGTCTTCACTGTGGTTTGGAACATGATTCCTCTGAATGGTTTTTATTACAACATCTCAGTCTTTGTACCAGCTTTAGGCCTGCAGATCCCAGTTTGTTGGGCCTTTGCCCACATTGTGCAGATAGGCTGGGTGCTGCTGAAACAACAGCAACAATAGAGAGAGGAAGTGAACGCTTTCCCTGGGAATTTCTTAAGCCAGACTTTAAATGTGTACGCACACATTGTGCTGTCACCACACAATGGGGACAGAGTGACAGCCCACCCTGTGGTATCAGCTTGTTTATAAATGGCCCTCCCAAGATGTGAGACCAGAACTGAACCTTGAACTTTGGCCTTGTCTTGGACGTTTCGAGTCAGAATGACCAAAGTCCTGTCTGGTAACTGGGACCAGAAGCGCAGTGCTGAATGTATGTCAGGGCTGTTCCTGCAGAGCAGCCACTCCTGCTTGGGCACAAAAGTGAGACGTTCATAGTTAACGAGTTATTATAAACTCTGTTAACTGTGAGTGGAAAATTGTTGACGTTAAAGCAGGGCCATTCAGCTTCAGTTGCAAGTAGGCCAAAGTTATAAAATACTGCTGGTTTGAGTGTATCTCACAGGTTTTTGCTTGGTTAGCATTGAAGCTACTCTCGTCTTTACTTCCTGGTTCTTTAAATTTTCTATAAAACTTGTAAAAGATAACACAAGTCAAATCGTTACTGTTTTTTTTTCTTTTTGTTTTGTGTCGTATCCCAATAATAATTTTATTATTCACTTTCAGCAAAGTGGGAAAAAAAATTATTCACATTAAAAATGTCAAATTTAGAAATATATTTTCCATATTTTGACTTTGAATGAGACATCTCGATGCTTGTAGTGAGCCTAGCTAATGCAACTTTTGTTGTCTTCTGTCTGTACTGCAGCTTTAATGCCTTTTGCTCAGGTCAGATTGATGGGCCAATCAGAGCGCTGTTTTCAGGTGCACATTTTTACCCGCCTTTACTTCTCTCCAGTTTACTAAGGACTGAGTCAAGACAGATCCAAGGTTTAACTAATTTAATGGAAGTAAGCTCTGATACCTTTTAAAATATTGTTAACATAATATTCAGACAAACTAATGGGTTTCTGGCAGCTTTGTTSTGGTCATTTTTAAAAAAAAGGRCCATATCTGATCATGTTGGCCAGTGCTGAATATTCAGCTAAAACTGGCTTATTATGATGTGCCGCATGGACAGGGTGATGTTCATGAGTTTATTTTCTCTAAACTCTATAACTTCCTGTTAATGTTTTAGTAAGACTTTAGACGTGGTTTTAAGCGTATTTAAGCTCTTTGCGTGTTTTGYTACCCAGTACAGTTTCGGTTTGAGATTTTCTGCGATGGTTTTGTGTGGGGGAAAACACAGCTGTACTTCTGTGGAGAGTTGGAGCAGAGTGCTTGGCTTTCCTCTGGGGTCAGGCACTCAGTAGGTGCCGGGCCTCCTTTCCTGCTGCGCAACACTTGAGATGTGGTGCAAAGCTTGGGCCACARCTACGGTATGTCCCTTTCAGTAAATCAGAGGGAACGTTTTAGTTTTAAATGAATCATCCAAGACTTGTGTCCTTTCTATTGATTTTAGCTGAGGCCTTGGATTTGGTTTTGTCTCAGAAAAGCAGCTGGAATGTGTCTGGAATGACTGTAGGCTATTATYGCACATCACTGGGTAATAACTGTGGTGTAACTTATGACAGTTAGCTGAGCTCTGATCTACRTCGGATTCTCTTTCAACTGGGAGGTGGAGCATGTTTAAGGGACTTTATGTCTGCAAGGTCAACATTAAGTWAAAAAAAAGACCAAAAACCTGCAGCACAGAGAGAATTTGGTTCTGGCTGTTACCCCCAGGACTGTCTTATAAAAATTACGCAACTGACTCTCTTGAGACCTAACCTGTTTGAGACTTAAGGCTGACATTGGAGCTAGACATTTTGTGAGCAGAAACAAAGCTGGACTCCACCAATAGCAGTGATGTTTTTTTTTATTTTGTCTGCGTCTCTGTGTTGTGTCTGCAGTGTTGGCATAATATCTCATAAACCACTGGACAGATTTCAGTAAACTCTTTGAAGGTAATCATTGGCTGTACATCTACAACATCTATACCAATATGACCACCACAGCTAATGCACCTTAGCCAACACAAAAATGGGTTTGTCAGTTTTACAGATAGTGAGCTAAACTTGGTGTGGTAGCTGAGAGTCATTCTTAACATTGGATTGAATTGGATGTAGATTTATTTTAGTTAAATTTACACTACAAGAAAAATAAAACAAAGTGAAACAATTTTATAATTACAAATCAATAATTTACCAAAAACGGAGTAGGCTGAAGCCAAGGCTTATACTTGCCTACCTCATTCAATGACACAGTTAGGGATGCACGATAACTTGTGTTAGTGAATGGTCTGTTTTGAACTTGTGGAAGGACATTTTTCTTTTGTTTGAATCTGACTGAGATCAGTGTTAAAGGTCTTTTTTTATATAATTAATGTACCTTATTTAAAAAATGGCCATTTGAGAAATTGTTTTGTTTGCTAAGAGTTTATTTCAAATAATATAATTTTGTGTCATTTTTTTAAAGTCTTTTTTATTTATGTTATGATCTTACCCATTTTTGGACTAGTATTATCTACTGGCATGTTATCGGTTATTATCGGTTATCGGCCGTCAGAAGGAGAAAGTTATCGATATCGGTTCTTAAAATAAGTTAGGGCTGGGCGATATGGCTGAAAAATGTGTCTTAAGTGAATATCAGTTGATATTGATAATTACTGATCGTTTTTGTTTTGTTTTACCTGTTTGAAATAAGGACCAGGAGGAATAAGKTTTATTAATACTGCCGAACTGGTGACCTGATCTTTCCTCTTTCATCCACAATTTCCTCTGGAGCTGTTGCACTCATTTTCTTCTTTCACTCMAGGTTGTTSTTATTTATTTTTCAGCAGGAAGGAGGCACAGTGGTGAAACATGAAACTGCTACATGTTACTCAACAGGTTGTTGCTAGATTACCAAAGAGTGAGAGTTATTTGATGCCAACAACCTTAGCTGGACCACGAGAGGTGGTGGCTAAAGCCTTTCCTCTGACTACATCCCCCAGAATGCTGTGCGGKTTTGGATCAGATTGGATTTTCAKTGAAATTATTAACTTTCTRTTGGRCAAATTTTCCATACTAATCACTTCTATGAC